GCATACGAAAACAAGTAATCAAATTTTCAAAATATGGGCAAATGACCCGAATAGACACTTCTGAAATAAAGAAATAAGTGTCTAGTTCGTGAAAAAGAGTGCTCAAGATCACTAGATATCAGAGAAATGCAAACCAAAACTACAATGAGCTACCTTCTCTCTGAAATTGGAGTAGCTATTATCAAAAGGATAAAAATTAAGAAATACTGGTGAACATACAGAAAATGAAAAACTCTTGTACACTACTTATAGGAATGGAAATTGATTCAACGACTAGGAACAAAAATATGAAGCTTTCTCAATTAAATATAGAACTGTGCCACTCCTGGATATATATGCAAAAGAAACAAAGCCAACATATCAAAGAGAAATCTGTAGGTCCATGTTTATTGTGGCACTATTTGGAAAAACTAATGTATGGAAATCAGCCTGTATCTCTAGAATCAGGTGAATGGATGAGGAAAAAATCATCCTGTATGAAACTCAGTTCGAAAAGAGCACCATGGAGTGTTAGTCTTAAAGAAAAATACTTTCTGACACAGCAGAATGGATGGAGCTGGAAGGCAAAATTTAAGCAAAGCTCAGAAAACATAGTGACAGAATGCAGATCAGTTGCGTGAGCATTGCAAAAGAAACATTTATCAAGAAGAAATCTTATCCTAGTCATAGATACAAAGCTACACATCTTTAAGACTAAACATTTAAGACATATTCATGCTTAGTCAATGCATCATTCTGTGGCAGGCTTACTCACAAAGCCACCTTGAACTAGAAATTAGAAGGTATCACATCAAAATAAACAAAAGCTATGGTGGAATCTCATAAGCATTGACTTGTTGAGATGTACTTGTAGCCTACCTCCCAGGACCATGTGCCTACCATGGGTGGAGCGAGCCTTATTTGAATCAGTTGAAGACCTTTTAGGGCTTTCTTGAAAAAGAGTTCATAGTGCTATGGAGCTCTAGCTTTTCCAGCCTGTGCTGTACTTCCTAGTGGCTTTTTGGATTTGTCTAAACAATTTCATATGTGTATGCCAGTTCCTTGAACATATCACTATGAATATTATATAATGATAATGAACATATTATTAGACCTGTAGATATACATCTAGGATATATTTTTCTGGCTGTATCTGAATTTATATATTTTTCCATTCTCTAATATGTAAATTGTTTTTCAGACCAGAAGTATTCACATTAATATGCACTGCTACAGAAAATAGCAAAGCATGATTATTTTTTCTTTTGACTTTTAAATATTACTTTTGAGTTGTTCATTTCTACTTGTGAAATGAAGTCCGAAGATTTTGATCAATTAAACAAAACTTTTGCACTATTTTGTTTCTAAATGTTCAACATATATTCTATAACATTTGTAAGTTTCTGATCTAGGGCCGGCCAAATAGCTCAGCGGATTAAAGCACCTGCAAGCATGCGCAGGGGCCAGGGGTTCGATCCCCGGGCCTGCCGTGCCAGCCCCGCCCCTGGGGAGCACTGAGGCAGGGAATGAGACTGGGCGTGGTGGTACTCACCTGTGATCCCAGCTCTTGGGAGGCTGTAAACAGGAGAGTCACTATGAGACCGATCTACGTAGTGAGACCCTGAACACACTGTAGACCCTTTCCTAAAAATATAGAAAAAATAAAAATAAAAAATTAAATAAAGTTTCTGATCTAGAGCATCTGCCTGTTAGCCATCTGTTTCTCCCAGTCCATGCTGCTTGTTTTCTACAACTACTGTGTGGTGATCAGCCTGAGACTTCCCACAACATCTTTGTCTATATCCCAGATTGTCTTTTATCTTACTCCATTTTGCCACCCTTGAGAAATGTCTCCTCCAGAATTTTTCAGTATGTACAAAATATTCTTTCATTTCTTAGTAACCTGAAATTTGTTTATTCCAAAAATCTAGTTGATAGTTCAGATGAGTAAAAAAAAATCTTCATTAAAAATTATTCACTGTATTAATTCTGAAACATTGTTCCAGTCTCTATACCCTGCTTTGTTTTATTTTGTTTGAGACTGATGCTACTTTGAGTCATTTCTTTATCTAAGACACTTTTAATATTTCTCTAATTATCTTTAAGCCTATTTATACATTTGACTGTGCAAACCAGAGTGACATATTTAACTTAAAAAAAAAAATAAGATGGGCTGGCGAGATAGCTCAGTGGTCTAAAGCGCCTGCTTAGGCAAGCTTAGGCAAAAGTGCAGGGACCAAGGTTCGATCCCCAGCACCACAGGCCCAGGGTAGGCTGAGCTGACTTGTTAATTCAGCATGGTGGTGTGCTCCTGTAATACTAGGACAAGGCTGGGGCAAGAGGGTTAGGAGCTTATGACCAGCCTAAACTACATCAGGTTCTGATAATAGAAAAGGAACAAAAACAAAAGCAAAAATGAATAAGAAATCTTGATAAACTGCATGGTTTGGATGTACAAGACCATAGGTTTGAGCCTCATAACAAAAAAAGACGTAGTTCAAAATATATCATTCTAAACAAATAAAATATGATGGAGAGCTAGCAAGCTGTGAAGATTTATGCTCAATAAATAAAATAAATAATCAGTATCTTATGTATTATTCCTACAAGTCAATATGTGTTAAATAGCATAATAAAATTGGCAAATAAATGAAATCAGATCTAATTAATCATATAATGAATTTCAAATATGTTGTGTCAGTTGATCATAACTCTGATAAGCTAGCGCCCTTCTCATGTGCAAAGACCTTCTGCAGGTATATTTTATCTTCTAGGTCATTGTAGTTTTCAAAGCAACACATGTTGATTTTGGACATTATGTGGGCAAGGAGGAGGGATGGGGCAAAGGAGGCACCTTTGCAGCTGGTACTCCAAGAACAGGCCCTGGAAAGTGGCGCAGAGCCCACACGCTGTTTCCAAGACTCCAAGCTCTCTCATGTGATGTTCAGTCACTGCGTGATTCTGCTATGAATCTGAGAACAAGCTGTGTTTCGCCTTTCTCCGTCTTCCTAATCCTCATGGCTCGTCTTATTATTTTTTTCTTTTTCTTTTCATTGTTATTTGAGTATATTCTATGCTTTGGGTGATGAATATCAACAAATTCTAGCCCTATAAATGACTCTCTAGAACTAGAACTGTGCATATATGGTATTTACTTATATTTGTGTCTTCTATTCTGTTTTATTTTATTTCTATATTTTCTACATTTTATTTTATTCTATATACTATTCTAT